ATTAGTTATTACATGTATATATATTGCTAAATATAGCCTGGTCTTTCTTTAGACTGTTACTTGTATATGTGTTTTCAGATTAGGTATTGGATAACAAATTGGTGAGCTTTTCTCTGGGAAGGATTGTTTCTCTCACTGTGATCATTCTGTAGTTGCCCATGGTTCTTGGGTAAGGTTAATGCCTAATGGCCTTTCTCATATACACCTGGGCATAACTATTGCAACCGTCCCTTTTCAGTTCTCGCTTAGGTAGTCATGTTGGTGACACTTTGTGGGTGCAACTTCTAACACTATTAGGAGACACAGTCTCACAGAAAACTCTCACTCTGATTCCTACAATATTTAAAGTTCCTCTTCCCACAGTGGTTTTCCCTAATGGCCCCTGACTGTTGTAATGAGAATTTTCCTGATGAAGGGTGAGGACTACACTTATCTGTGGATATAAGGACAAATATTTAGAATGAAGTTAGGGATTATGATAGTTTAACAAAATAGTGGTTGCAGATTTTTCTTCAAGATTCATGACTTCACTAGCCACAGGTTATTTGCTAGGGTCTCCAGTACCAACCATGATTTCCCTCCTGTTGAGTGAGTCTTAAGTTTAGGTAGAGAGCTCTCTGCTATTGCTAAGAAATGAGCTAACATTGCATCCTATTGGTTGATGGTTTTCAGATGTTATGTAATGTATGAGTCAGCAAATTAACAGAAACTTGGAGAAAAGCTGTTTTCTATAAATTTTGCATGTCATTTATTTTCTTATTTTATTTTACTTTATTTTATTACATTTTGAAGAACATTAATCAACAGTTCCAAAGTACAGAGTCACACACCTAAATCAGTAAGCAAAATATATGCTGATCTCACTGAACAGAATAAATTGATAGAATTTGGGTCAATATAAAGTTTCAGAATATTTAAGCAGAATACCAACTGCAAGAGTCTTACTTGTAATTATAAAATGAAATTATCAGTCTTTTAAAATAAATTTAGGACTTAATTTTTAAGAAACCCACATGCTTTTATATTTAAAATTTTTATTGGATTCTATAACTTTAATTAAATCTACAAACTTTTCTCAGTTAATTTCCTTTTTGAAGTATATTATTTTTCAAGAATAATTTTGAGAATCTTTTATTTTTACATTTAAAAAAGTTGGTTCTAAGTATAAGCATATTTTATTAGAGACATACCACAAAATGTCATGAAATAAACCTTTAATTTGATACAGTTGAAATATACTTGAAGATTGTGCTGGCTGGCTGACTTTTTGTCATTTTAATGTGTGTTAGAGTTATCTAGGAAGAGAGAACCTCAATTAGAAAATGCATCAATCATATTGCCTATATCCATTTTCTATATTAGTCATTGACATGTGATGGCCCATGCCGCCCCTGGGTACCTGATCTTGGTGATATAAAAAGGCTCAGCAAACCATGCGAGTCAGCTATTTAGCAGCAGTCCTCCATGGTCACTGTTTCAGTTCCTGCCTTGAATTCCTGCCCCAACTTCCTTCAGAATGAACAACAATTGTAAACTGAAATAAATCATTTCTTACCTAGTTGCTTTTCGCCATGGCATTTTATTTCAGCAAGAGAATAAATACTAAGTGGAGCAAAGACCTATTGTTTATAGGTTTGGTTGTTATTGCATTTGACTATTCTTTGCCTATGAATACTGCTTAGCTATTTTAGAATATGTTTATGAGTTTTTTATTAGTAATTTCAGATTTGTATACACACACATAAGTTTTCATTTTCATTTTGATGTATTTCTGGATAACTTCTATTCTGTAAATATGTTTTTTTTAAATAATTGAATCCTTTCAATAGTGTTGTTTGTTTGTTGTATTTTGTTTATTTATTTCATTTTCCTGGAACTTGCTCTGTAAACCAGGTTGGCTTCAAATCAGAGATTTATCTGCCTCTGTCTCCTAGTGCTGTGATTAAAGGTGTTCACCACCACCACACAACTTGAATCCTTTTTATTAACTCCTTTTTTCTAACTTCATTTTTCATGGATACTCATTGAATAACTATTATATTTATCTATATTTAATGAATTTGCTTAATATTATAAAATCATGCTCTTGTATATAATACATCTGAAGTGACAATTGCTTTCTTACTCAATTATCACAAGAATTAGGTTTACTACTAATAAAATGTGCCTGGTTGAAAATTCAGTAAGAGAATTAATTTTTCTTGTTTGCTCCATGGGCTGGAGCTCTTTGTCCAATAACTTTAACATCCCCATCTGCTCAGACTACCCTTGCTAATAACCACTGATAATGCATGACTGCTTCACACAGGCTGGGGAACTCAAATCTTCACAAGTATTTTTCTGTCGCTAAAGAAACAAGATGAGAAGGTAAGAAAGAAAAAGAAAATTCTCTACATTTTAACCAGAGAAGTCACTTTCATTAACGTGTAGTATTTGTATTGGGGTACAGGTAAAATCTACCAATAAAGCTTCTACCATGTATGAGATCACTGAACTGATCACTTATGATAGATCAATTACTTTTAATCTGTTCCTGAATAGATCAAATCCAAGGAAAGCTTTTCCATTGAGTTCATCCTCATAATAAACTCAAAGCTCACTAAGAAGTCTAGCATTTCCCACGAACTACAAGAGTTCTGTGAAGGGTGAGCAGCGATCAGCACACAGGGGCAGCAGAGACTTCTTTTCATGTTACTGATACCTTGAAGGGCCACACTGAAAGGCAACTCATGGTCTCAATGATAATGAGGCAATACTTGCCTAATGTTAAGATCAGGTTTTATTGTTTGCTTATTATACAATTTAATTTTATATAATTATTTTAAACTACAAAATAAAATTTTAGTATTTCCTGATTGTGTGTTTTTGGTATGTGTATTTTCATGATAACCTAAGTGTAAAAAGCTGTAAGTGTCTATAAAAGTGTTGGCGATTTAAAGGGTCAAGTTTGGTCTCAGACAAGATTACATTTATAGTGGGTGATTTGATCTGTGACTTCTTTCCCACCTTCTTAATAACTGTTATGTGCCCTTTGCTTTCCTTAGTGAAATGCAATCCTCTCCTCCCTGATGGAGATGGCAGCTGCTGCTGGTGGTCAGCCTTAAGCTCTCTCATATTAAGGGAAATACTGTTCTTTGTGTTTGCCCTTGACTCTCCTTACTTTCAAGGAACACAGATCACCCCTGAGAGTGTATATTCAATCTTAGCTTAAAGTGGCAGAGAGCACCTTTTGATTTCAAATTTATTAATCTTTTGGAATCATCACATCTATACTTATTTCTGAATGACTTTTTGACAGTCTCTACTGTTGAACACTTGTTGCTATTGGAAAAAAAAAAAACAAATACTTTTGCCAGCCTTGGTAGTCCTGGCCTTTTTCCCAAGCACTCAGTAGGCAGAGTCATATGAATCTCTATGTGTTTGACCCCAACCTGGTCTATATAGAAAGCTCCAGGCTATCTAAGGCTACAAAACAAGATCCTGTCTGAAGTAAACAAGAAAGAAAAATACCCCCCAAACAGAAAAAAAAATGTGTTTTATTTTCAATTCTAGAAATTCAAATGACGTGCTGAATTGAAGTGTATTTAGATTGCTTTGCAGATTATTAATGCTTTCATTTGGGGTATTTTATTAGAAAATAATTTATAACCACAGATGTTAGGTATAGCGTAAGGGACTAAGGGGGAGAGAAAAATCTCTGGAGGAAGAGGAAATAGAAATTGTATGTATTGATGGGTTTGTGCAGTATTATGTAATTAAATGCAAAAGTGAAGGGAAGATTAGGGTATAGAGGAAATACTAAGAAAGACAGTTAACACTAAAAATCACTTGAGGGGGTCATATGAAAGCCTACTTCCATAAACATTTCTTAAAATATATGCATATAACAAAGAACTCTCATAAAATTGCTAAATAATGTGAGAAATAAATCCCCAACTAGATACCTCTTATCAATAAATAAAAGCCCCAAATGATCCATGCTATGGTCAAGGCTGTAGGCTGTTCTCTACTAACTGATGGCAAAGCCCTGTTGCTGAAGACAACACCTACAGCACTCATTAAGCACAGAGAAATAGAGCTGGTACCTACAAAGAGCCCTCATTCCTGCTGTCTGGCATTTGTGACACTGGAAGATACTCTCCCAGAGGAGAGAGGTGAACATGGAGGAGAGAGGTAAGCATCAACATGGCACAGAACCTTCAGACCACAAAGGTGACCTGTCTGCATGATACACTGGTACAAGAGTAGTACAAAAGCTGTGGGAGTAGCCATCTAGCACATGGTTGGATTTAAGGTCCATGTCACAAGATGCTACCTATTCATGACATGGCTCAGGTGAGTAAGAACCTGAGAAGCAATAGCCCGTGGATCCAAAAGAAAAACAAATACTACTTTTCTGCTAAAGGCATGGAGCTGTAACATTATACCTAAAGACATCTTGCCATACTCATAGATAAGTGTCTTGCTCAGTCTTCAACAGAGAAGCTAATTCTTGGAGTAGATGAGAATAAATACGAAAATCCATAGCTGGACAATGTGCAGAGGGTAAGAGTCTTTGGAACACTCACTGAGTCCTAAATGGGATGTCTCCATTTAGGACTTTTATCAGAGCTCAGGGCACTCTGTGGAAGAGGAGACTGTATTGCAGAAACAATGTAATAGCCAGAGAAGACGGAGGACATCAAGGAAACCAGGTCTTTTAAACACAGCAGGATCAGTGCACATATGAACTCACCAAGACTGTGGCAGCATGCACAGGCCCTTCACAGATCTGGGCTTGATGGAGTCCCAGTGCCGAGAAAGGAATAGACACAATCCCACATCCCTGTATTAATACTTTCTTTTTAAAAAAATTAATATGCTGTTTAATCTTCTCCAGCATGTCTTCTAGAGACCCTTTGATCTATGCTCTGTTTGGTCGCTAGCCTTTGTCTCTATTTTCAGCAATGGTAAGGTGGATTCTCTTTTCTGGGGGAAGAATAATGCATGGTTTGTTGGCCTTACCAATAACAAAAAATGTTGGAAAGCCTAGTGACAGAGCTGCTGCCACTGGCTTCTTTCACATGAAGCACATCAAAAGAGCCAGGATGTCTCTCTCTGTCGGTGATCACATCAGTTCTTCCCAAGTTAGCACCTCCAGCCACCATGCACAGGTTACTGGTGACAAACTTGACAAAGTCGCTTCTTTTGTCTGTCTCCAAATCAACCTGAATGGTATCAGTCACATTGATGAGAGGATCAGGGTAGCAAATAACACAATCATTGTGGCTCACCAGATGTGGGATTGCTTTTGTGCCTATAAAGATCTTTCTCACTTTGTGTAACTTGTACTTGGTCTCCTCAGGTGTGATAAGATGAATAGCAAAGTGACCCGTGGTGTTATAGATCAGGAGGAAGTTTTCTCCAATCTTGTCAATGCTGGTGATATACATAAATCCAGCAGGGTAGATACTATCGAACCTGACTTTGCCACCAATCTTAATATAGCATTGCATGCAAATCTTTTTTCTTTCTCTCTCTCTCTCTCTCTCTCTCTCTCTCTCTCTCTCTCTCTCTCTCCCTTTATTTTATTTTTTAAATTCATTTCCAGTTAGGACATGTCCGTTCCTTAGGAAAATGATTAGAGGCAGACCTCCCCTCAGCTTGTGAGGAGCAAACACATCAGTCAATTTATCCAAAATCTATAGTTTTGGAGCCACTGCATGCTTCAGATATTCCTTGAGACCATGAGTCATAGATACACAGGGAACAGAAAGAGTTATACTATATTCTTAAGGACAGCTTCCATGTTAACAGTAAATGGCCATACAAAACACACTCAATGGGAATTTTAGAGGTTATTTTTCTCAAAGTGCTTTGTTGGGGTTTTACTCCTTTCCTGAAGAGATCCTTTCCATATATATTATGGTTTCCAGTTTTTTTTAAATAGTATTCATGTGGTGTGTGTGTGTGTGTGTGTGTGTGTGTGTGTGTGTGTGAGAGAGAGAGAGAGAGAGAGAGAGAGAGAGAGAGTGTGGTGTGTTTGTGCATATCTTGTGCTTTTGTCTTAGTTATTTTGTTTTTATTTGTTTGCTGTGTTTTATTCAATTCTGGTTTGTTTTAGTTTCTTGGTTATTTTCTAATGAGTGAAGGAAAGAAAGTTTGTGTATTTGGGTGAGTTGAGAGGTAGGAGAATCTGGGAGGAGTTGAGAAAGGGCAAACAATGATACTAAATGAAAAGAATTATTTTCATTAAAAACGAAAATGATACTGTTTTTTACAGTGACTATTCCATAGAAAGTTTTACTCAGCTGAAGTTTTCTCAATGTTGAAAATTTAAGACGTCCAACGAATGAAATAGGCCACATTGAATAAATAATTTTAAACAAAATTTTTTGTTGAAATTTCTTTGCCAAAAGTTTATAATCAAATTGTATTTTATCGTTTGATCTATTAAAATCAGAAAATGTCACGGTAAACATGGTAAAGGGTTTCCTTCAGTTTTAAATTTATTTTCTGATGCCAGAACAGGTTTTAAAAATAAGTATCAATGTAATTTTGATATTGATAAAAGGGTATCTTTGGAAATATAATCTCTTAATTAGAAATTAATTGTCTTTATATTGTTCCTTTTATCATAAGTATGTGTCATTCTTTGGTATGTAAGAAATACCTCATTCTCTGAAAGCATGACTATCGCTTCCAGTTGATTTATTTAAATATAATGCCTCCCTTTTCTCATAATTATATTCAGATGATCACATTGCTCGACTTGAAGAAAAATGATAATTCCCAGAACATGACCTCTATTATTTATACTATTGCATACACCAAACATAGCTAAATGACTGAAGAAGACAGATGAAGATTTTCAGGTCACAAATTTTTATATTACACAGATTTTCATAAGGTGAATAAAATATTACTTATTTAATATAATGACAGAAGGAAATGAAATAAACAGCCTGCTTGCCTATTATTAAATACCTTGAAAAGGTGCTGTTTTCCACAGCAGGATCATTTTTCTTTTTAGGAGAGGAAAATATCCAGTCACAAAGCTGTTATAACCTAAATTGAAAGGCATAAAGCACTAGGAAACCCTTCTATATTAGAGAATGAAAGATGATGTCCATCTATCAAGCAGATTCATGGAAATGCTAGCAATTGATCTAGGATTTATTTTATTTATTTATTAAAACATTCTTTTCTCATTTACATACTAATCCCAGTTCCCACTCCCTCCCATTCTCCCACTCCCTCACCTTCCCGGAATGCATTCCTCAAAGAGGGTAGGGCTTCCTGTGGGGATTCAACATAGTCTGTCACATCAGTTCGAGGAAGGAACAAGGCCTCACAACTATATCTATGCTAAGAAAGATATCCCTCCAAAGAGAATGGTCTCCAAAAAGCCGGTTCGAGCACTTGGGATAAATTGTAGTTTCATTGCCAGTGGCCCCACAGACACAACTGTCACCCACATTCAGAGGATCTCGATTGGTCTATACAAGTTCCCCTACTGTCAGTCCAGAATCAGTTAATTCCCACTAGTTCAGGACAGCTGTTTCTGTGGGTATCCCCATCATAGTCTTGATCCCCTTTGCTCATATTATTCCTCCTCCCTCCCTTCGACTGGACTCTGGGAGCTCAGCCCAGTTATTAGCTGTGGATCTCTATATCTGCTTCCATTAGTTGCTGGGTTAAGATTCTATGATGACAATTAAGGTAGTCATCAATCTGATTACAGAGAAGGCTAGTTCAGTTACCCTTTCGACTATTGCTTAGGGTCTTAGCTGAGGTCACCCTTGTAGATTGCTGGGAATTTCCCTAGTTCCTGATTTCTTGTTAGCCTCATAGTGTCTCCCTCAATTAAGCTATCTCTTTCCTTGCTCTCCTTCTCTGTTCTTTTCCCACCATGAAAACCCTGTTCCTTCTTGTTCTCCTCCTCCTCCCCTTTTCTCCCCCCGTTCTGCCCTCCCTCCATGCCCTCAATTCTCTCAGGAGATCTTATACATTTCCCCTTCACAGGGGGATCCTTGTATATCTCTCTTTTAGTATTCCTTGTTACCTAGGTTCTCTGGGGTTGTGGACTTTAGGCTGGTTATCCTTTGCTTTTTGTCTAATATCCACTTATAAGGGAGTACATACTGTGTTTGTCTTTCTTGCTCTGGGTTACCTCACTCAAGAATTTTTTTTTTGTTCCATCCATTTGCCTGCAAATATCAAGATACCATTTTTTAAAATCATTGTAGTATTCCATTGTGTAAATGTACCACAATTTCTTTACCATTATTCAGTTGAGGGACATCTAGGTTGTTTCCAGGTTTTGACTATTATGAATAATGCTGCTATGAATACAGTTGATCAAATGTCCTTATGGTATGAGTGTGCATCTTTTGAGTATATGCCCAAGAGTGATATTGCTGGCTCTTGAGGTAGATTGATTCCCAGTTTTCTGAGAAACTGCCATACTGATTTCCATAGTTGTACAAGATTGCATTCCAACCAGCAACAGAGGAGTGTTCCCCTACTCCACATCCTCTCCAACATAAACTATCATCAATGTTTTTGTTGATCTAAGGTTTTTAAAATAGTTAGTTTTTAGATTTTCTTTGTGTGTCAATGAAAGGAACCTCAAACAAAGAAAGTGCAATGAGCAATATTGTATATCAACCATAATGTCACATATATTGATAAACTTGAGATAAATGTGTACTGTATACTGATAACAAGAGCCAAGCTCTACAAAATAGTATTTTCCTTATTTTTTTCTGCTACTCAAACAATAGGTGGCTTTGAACCATCTGAAATTAGTTTTGTGCTTTTCCAGTGGCCATGAAGTTCAAGGACAAGGAACAGACAGATACACTGCCTGGTGAGAACCTTATCTGACATACTACGATAACCATGAGGTAGGATCTTTCTGCAGACTCATTTATGATAGTTCTCATCTGATTCATGGTAAGATTATGCCTCCATGACCTATTGTCACTCTTTCTAAGCCACACTTGCTTACAATCACCTTATATGTAAGAATTTTAATATTTACTTTTAGGGGAACATGAACATTCCAACTACAGTCTCCCTCTCCCATATAAGATATATTCAAATAGACCCAGGACAATAATTAGAAAGTGTTTAATAAAACTAATTATGCTATTGTATATGGGTTAAGTTTTATATTTAGATTTCTGTGAATATATTTTCTTATAATTTCTTGATATTTATACTTAGTAGAAAGTTTTGGGTCTTGTGATGACTATTCTTGATTGTCAACTTCTCTATAATTCATAATGAACTAAAATCTAGAAATAAAGGACACACCTTTGAAAGATCATTTTTGTTTGGTTTAAAGTGGGTGAATCCACTTCTAGTCTTGACTTTTAAGGTAGGAAGACACAAATCTTTGATCTGAATTTTGAGGCAGGAAGACACACCTTTAATCAGAACCACATTTCTGCTGAAAACCTATATAAGGACATGGAAGAAGGAAGTATTTGCTCTTTTCTTGCTTGTTCTTACTTTGCTAGCAAGTCCCTTTCTTTTTTTTTTAAGTTTATTAAAATATAAAAGTTTCCATTTTCGCCCCTCCTCCCAACACCCTCCCACTCCCCCCACTCCCTCTCCTCTTCCCTCTCCATCCCTAAGAGCAGTCAGGGTTTCCTGCCCTGTGGGTAGTTCAAGTTCCTCCCCGCTCCCTCCAGGACCAGGAAGGTGAGTATCCAATCAGACTGGATCCCCAAAAATCCAGAATATGCAGAGGAAACAAGTCCCAGAGTCATTGTCAATGGCTTTTTAGAAAGACTTCGGGCCAGCCACATTCAGAGAATCCAGTCTCCTCCAGAGAATCTGGTTGGATCAAGCACTCCTTCAGTACCAGTCAACTGGCCTTGGTGAACTCTCATTAGATCAGTCGCCTTGTATCAGTGGGTGATCGCTCCCCTTGCGGTTCTGATTTCCTTTTTCATGTTCTTTCTCCTTCTGCTCCTCCTTTGGACCTTGGGGGGCTCAGTCCGGTGCTCCAATGTGGGTCTCCGTCTGCATCGCCATCCATCGCCGGATGAAGGTTCCCTCTGATCTTGCCCTCCCTGCTCACGTTCTTCTTCCTTCTGCTTCTCGGTTGGACCTAGGGAGTTAAGTCCAGTGTTCCAACTGTGGGTCCCCGTCTCTATCTCCATCTATTGCCAGATGAAGGATCTATGGTGATAAGCAAAATATTCATCAGTATGGTTATGGGCCAAGGCCAGTTCAGGTACCCTCTCCTCTGTCCAGAGAACAATCTGGGGATCTCTCCTTGGACCTGGGATCCCATTTACAGTCAAGTCTCTAGTAAACCCTAAACTGACTTCCATAGTTGAGATATATTCTTCCCTGAACCCATATCTATCCTTCCTCCCTCCCCCCGCCCAGTCCCCCGAGCATTTCCCATACTTTCCCTGCTCCCTTCTCTCTAACCTCCTCCCCTTCCAACTACTCTCCCAACTCCCCATGCACCCTTGGTTACCTGGAACTCTTGTCT